TTAAACATTATGCACTTTTTTTTCAAAGATAGTCATGTTATTTTATTACGCTTTGAAGAAATGTGCATAATATTTTGCGCAATGCGCCCTCTTGTGGCCTCAGGACAGGAGAGAAGCCAAAAGCTTTTTTTCTGAAACTGAAATTATGCCTTTTAACTTAGAATATAATTCGAATTTTGATTATATTTAAATAGAAAATTCAAATTTAGTTTAAGTCATTTTGACAGCCCTAAAATGTTGTGTGCCTTATTCTGTGTAAGAAGCCACATTACAGAAGGATTTCTTTCAAACACTCGACTGACGTTATGAAGTGAGTTTGGAGTAAAAACAAGTTATTAAATGTGGTATTTTCACGTGCTTTCAGATGGAGCAGAATTTACTGCACCGAGCCGTAGTTCACTGACAAGCTACGCATGTAGCTTCCATAATCGCAGAACGATTTCTTCGATTTCATAATCGCGCGATTAAATAGTCTGCGATTATGAACGCGATTTTGCATAGCTTGTCAGTGAACTACAGCTCTGTAGTAAATGCTGCTCCGTCTGAAAGCTTGTGATGGAGATTTACTACTAATCACAGAACCGGCTTTACTGACAAGATGCGCATGACAATCGCATTCGATTAATCGTGCAGCCCTAGCGTCGGCTCTCCACATCTACTATTCACTGCTCTTGAAGTTAACCCAACTATGGGTTAATTCCAAACTTATAACACAGTGAAATAAGTATTTTTATTAAAAACAAACGGTGTCAATGATTGTCTTGTGGACAACTGTCAGATCAGCAGTCTTCCCCATGATTGTGTAGCCTAGTGAACCAAACTGAGAGACCATTTTGAAGGCTCAGGAAACCTTTGCAGGTGTTTTGAGTTGATTAGCTGATTGGCATGTCACCATATTCTAATTTGTTGAGATAGTGAATTGGTGGGTTTTTGTTAAATGTGAGCCAAAATCATCACAATTAAAAGAACCAAAGACTTAAACTACTTCAGTCTGTGTGCATTGAATTTAATACACGAGTTTCACAATTTGAGTTGAATTACTGAAATAAATGAACTTTTCCACGACATTCTAATTTATTGAGATGCACCTGTATGTCATATTTTCCGTATCAAACAAAACACATATATATATAAATGATTGACCTTGATTATCCCGCCTCAGTTCTCAAGCTTGTCACAGTGTATCCACACTTAGACTAAAGGCCAAACGAGGTATTTTCTAAAGCATGCTTGTGGTTTGGAACTGCCTTTGCATTGGCACATGTTGCTCACTGGGTTTTGGAACAGATCATTTGTTCTTTCATTTGAAATTTAGATTTCGTAAAATCTTGTAACCGCACCATGACAGCAGAGTTTGTCTGGATTTTCCACAGATGCAAACCAAAGTCAGGGGGGAGACACGAAGAGGAAGTCCCACTGACCCCCACAACCAGAATGTACAAGTGGACACCGCTGGCGACGGATGTTTTCAGCTGCTTGGATGAACACCTGCTGCGCTTTCTTTCATTAACGACCCTTCTTCAATTAACATCATTCTGCTTTTAATCGATCAGTGTTCTGGACGATTGGAGTGAGCTGGGTGCATTTGAATTTTTGTTGTTTGTCAACATGTTTACACAAGACCTTAATCACTGTGGACATAGAGCTAGAGGAAGTGAGAGGAGTACGAAACAAAGCAACATCATTTCTATTTAAGTTAATGTCGGCTGGAAACGTGCATTCCTGTGGTTATTTTCTTTCCTAAAGGGATGGGATAGTCCAACCGTTTCCTTCTAAGACTGTTAGAATAGTAGCTGTTAATAATACATATGGGTAAATAATTTATAATTTTGCGACAGGGACATATTATGATGTTTAAGTGTATTAGTAGAATAAAATGGGTATGTATATAAAATATACATGAAGTGATATATTTTCTTTGGAGGTCAGTACGTGAAGTTCCTCTCATCTGTGCGTGCAGATGTCTTGCTGTCTTTGGTGCTGCGTATCTCACTGGACCTTGTGAAAGAAAAAAATACATTATTTTACGGATGAATGAATCATGTGTGAAAGCTTTTCATTGAGGAATATTATGAGATTGTAGCCTACTTGAACTTTTAGTTTTGCTTAATATCAGTACAAGATCTCCCAAGACTGTCAATAAAACGCCTTAGATTGTAAGTTTGAATAACTATGCAGGACTGTAAATGCTTCAATGCAAAGTAAGCTATTGCTTAGAGCTCCACTTTTGACATTATTTGTGTTTGTGTGTGTTTGATGGGTCTGCCCTGTTACCTCACTGGACCGTTAATTCTTCCTTCCATGTCTGTTTCATTTCATCCTTTGCAACCACCTGTTCATTTCAAAATGTCTGGCACTGCTCACCTGCATCTTATGACTGTGTTCAAATGAGAATTGGCACCAAAGATGACAGCGTTCGCTCAGAGTTGACAAGCAACAGGTCAGGTGTCTGTGTGTGCTCAGTGTAACATCTTAAATGTGTGGTCTCTGTGGATATTGTGATGGACTGACTTTTAAAATCCAATTTTATATATTGCTTTATTTTATTTTCTAAAAATGCTGAAGTGAATGGGCGTAATTTTAACTGATGCTCACCTTGAAAATTCTTATTTGGGTAGATTTATTTTTGTCTTGATTCTGGAATTCAAATGCTGTCATTTTTGTTTCACGTACAAGCTCTAAAAATTAATTCAATAAAAAAACATTGGTGGATATGGTTGTAATAAAGTTATTGGCATAACTGAGGGACTGTAGCTCACCCAAAAATGAATCACCTTCATGTTGTTCCAAACCCGTAAGACTTTTGTTCATCTTCGGAACACAAACCAAAATATTTTTGATGAAATATATATTGTGCACACATAGCTATATGTGGAAAAAATACACACACGCACTGCACAAATATATTTAGTGTGGGTTTAGGGTTCATAACATCGACAAATACATAATTGCAAGCTATAGAAAAAATACCTATGCATTTATATACACATGTATATTAGATTGTTTTTTTATTAATATGTAATTGTGCAGTATGTACACATCTATCGATCCACACACAGATAGATAGAATATGAGTTTATAAATAAATTGTCTGTCTATACCAAGCTTTAAACTAACTCATAGGTCGACCACTATTATTAAAGCATAATGAACACTCGTCATTCCTTTTTATTTCAATAAGAAATAAAAGCAACTTCAGGAACAGGAGAAAGCATGCTTCTTCTACAATGAATGTTTTATTTTTTTCCTTTACAAAACTCACTGTCATCTAGAAATAGTTACAGTATACAAGAGAAAAACAAGAGGAGAGACATTTGCAGTTGAGCGCCTGGTTGTCAACAGCCAGTCCAATAATAGAAGTGATAATATAGCAATAATAATGATAACTGCAATAATAGTAACTTGATCATGGATGATAAAGCTTTAAACCAAATGAAATCCCGCTTGCTCCTCGCCGCCAGAGGCTTCTTTATATCAAACCAACATTAACACTGATTTCCCTCAGATCTTCATGAGAACACAAGGGATACGAGACCTATACACTGGATATGATTCATAGCAAAACAAAAACGGGTTACATAGCATTTTATTTCAATTGCCTTCAGCCAGTTTTGCCTTCATATTAGCGTTTCTTCATTACTCCTACGAGACATACTTCCATTGATGTTTTCTAATTAGTGTCTAAGGCACTTTAAGAAACATGTCAGTAAATGCTAACAGTGGAACAGGTTAGTACGCTTTCCGTTCATCCTCTTAATACTACTAGTGCTCAAAGCATCCCGTCCACAGCTATACTCGCCACCAAAGTGCCTGTGAATGAACCTGTTCAATATGTCCAGTTGCTTTCAGTGCTGATTTCTCATTGATGTCTGGACCGTTTCAAACATCTTCCAATAAACTTTCCTTTTGGTTTCACTTGTAGTGTATCTAATAGAGCAGCTGGGTTTGAGAAGTACCATCATACTGTCACATATACAGGAAAAAAAAACCTTAAAGAGATTACATATGAAGTATTCTGGATGCAAATGCACGTCGAGATGAAGCATACATATTTCCTTTCCAGTTGAAATGGCCTTTTATTGCTTTCTTACAATGTGCAGTTAAAGGCGATTCGTGATTACATCCCAATTCCTAAAACACAAACCGCCTCCGTCACAGCTAAATCTCCCAAATAAGATCAAACAGGCCTAGAGTTGAATGAAGATAAACACGCAGGATTTCTTGCGTTTTAACTATTTAATGCATTTAAATGTTAATGAGATGCTGAAGCGAGCAGCTTTTTCACAGTTTTTTCTTTTCTGGTCCGTTTCAGATCCGGTCCAGTGCAACAGGACTTCTTTTCTTTTTTCTTTTAGTGTTGGCTTGTAGCGAACAAGCAGCACATGCATCTCTATCGACCCAAAATCTGCAGACCGTGTTTATTTGGAGGACTGTACTGTACTGTAACTAAGATCCAATCCGTCACGTTTGCTTAGCTAGCTGATGGTTTTACATCATTAAACTAGACTAGAGTGAACACTCATTGCACGCTCTTATGAATGAGCATATTCATGTACGCAAAGCAAAGGTTGACATTTGAAATGCACTTCTATAGTGTGTTCTGTCATGAGTGCGGTATTTTGTAGGCTACAGTTGCAGGAAACACTAATTGGCGTGTGCACGCTCGGTCTTGAAGCATCTTGGATTGAATTTAGAATAAGGCAGAGTTGATGCTCCCTTGGTAGGGAGGGGATAGAAATGGAGGTTTGAGGGTAGCTTATGTCTGAACGTGTGTGTGTGTGTGTGTGTGTGTGTATGTGGAAGTGTTAGTGTAGTTGTGTGTTTACATCGCTCACTGGTCCTCTTTCTGTACCGTGGACCACAGTTGCAGGAAACACTAATTGGCGTGTGCACGCTCGGTCTTGAAGCATCTTGGATTGAATTTAGAATAAGGCAGAGTTGATGCTCCCTTGGTAGGGAGGGGATAGAAATGGAGGTTTGAGGGTAGCTTATGTCTGAACGTGTGTGTGTGTGTGTGTGTGTATGTGGAAGTGTTAGTGTAGTTGTGTGTTTACATCGCTCACTGGTCCTCTTTCTGTACCGTGGACTCCACATAGCTAAAGGAGAAGAATGAGGTGCTGGAGAGGAGGAAGCAGTGGGGCTGGGTGACCACAGGAGGGCGGCTGTGCTCTACTCCGCTTGAGCCGGCGGGTTCTCGTTCAGGTCGCTGGCCTTGCTGTCCGCGTCGTCGTCAGAAAACTCCCCTTCCATCTGCAGCTGCCTGCGGCCAGAACGGCTTGAGGAGAAGCTAACAGAACCTCCTCGCCTGCAGGAGACCGTAAATAAGGTATTAGAGCGCATTACCCAGCACTCTATATACTATTATAGTATTCATATTTTGAATTATCTTTTAGCTTTCATTTTAATTTGAGTAATTTTGTTATAGTTCATCATTTATTTTTTTTAAATACTTCTATTTATCACTATGAGTTTAGTAATTTTATGTGCTTTAGTAATTTTTATGAGTTTTTTTTTTAAAAACAATTTTATGTGTGTCTGTAATGTTTTTATATATGTATTTAGCATTATTTTTATTTCAGTTTTAGTCATTTGTTATGTTTTATATCATTCTATCTATCTGCACACAAAACCAGTCTTCAGTCGCTGGGGTATATTTGTAGCAATACCCAAAAATACATTGTATGGGTCAAAATTATAGATTTTCCTTTTATGACAAAAATCATTAGGATATTAAGTAAAGATCATGTCTCATGAAGATATTTTGTAAATTTCCTACTGTAAATATATCAAAACGTAATTTTTGATTAGTAATATGCATAGCTAAGAACTTCATTTGGACAACTTTAAAGACCATTTTCTCAATATTTAGATTTTTTTGCACCCTCAGATTCCAAATATTGTCCTATCCTAACAAATGTTTGATCATTTTTATTCGTTTTTAAAGATATTTCTATTTTGCATGCATTTATTTTATTTCACATTAGTAATTTTATGTGCATTTGTCAAATTGTTTTTATATTTGTATTTAGCATTCATTTTTATTTCAGCTTTAATAATTTGTTAATAATTAGCTTTTATCATTTTTAAGTTTTTTATAGTTTTATTTAACGAACTCTTTTCCCGCCATTGACGAGATATCTTGTCAATTAAGAGAGAACGCTTCCCAGCCAAAGACAAGTTCTTACGGCAATCCGTGTTCTAGGTGTATTACAGTTAGGAAAGCCCTAGCGCATGCCCAGAAGGAGTTATTTAAATTTTTGTTATATAACACTATATATATATATATATGTGTGTGTGTGTGTGTGTGTGTGTGTGTGTGTGTGTGTCTGTCCTGTTTATTGAATGCCATTTAAATTTTTCATATAATTATTTACAGGTGAAAGAATGACATCTGAATGTATTTTGCTTGAAAATGCACTACACAAATGCATTTTTCTCTGTTTTTTTGTCCAAATGTTGTATGTCTGATGAAACCTATCATGAAGATAGAATAAAATTGTTTTTTTGTTTAAAAGCAGAGGCTCAGTTCTTTATTTTGATATGTAATATGTTCATATATTCATAGCAGAAAATATTCTGAGGGCTGTCAAATTTAAGTGAAAATCATCAAAAATGCTGGCGGTGGCTGGCAACTTTTTAAAACAATGCTGGCGGGGAAAGTTAATATATTTTTCACGCAATTTTGTTGTGTGCTTATTTACATTAGGTTTTTATTTTTTATATATAATAATTTTAATATAATATTTCTAGTTAGCATTAATAGTACTTTAACTTAAATGAAAATTAGAAATGTAAAAATAAATACTTTAATATAATATTTATATTTAATTTAATTTCAGCCTTATTTCAATTTCTGAAAATAATTTTTAATAGCTTTAGGTTGTGTTATCAATAACAACACTGACAACCAACAAATGTACAAACTCAGCTATTTCTGGTCCAACAGTGTCTGAAATAGCAGTGAATATCAGCACTGCATCATTATTAAACAGTAGACAGGACATGATATGAATGCACAAATAAACAGATATTGGGTCAGATATTGATACAAGGATCTAAAGTATTGCAATATATCAGTATCAATATGTACCTGAGGCGGTTTTTGAGCGTGCTGACCTCTCGGCTCAGACCCTCACTAGCTTCGGTGGCATCGTCCAGCTCTCTCTGCAGCTTCCTGCGGGAGGCGTTTGCTCGAGTCGCCTCTTCCTCAGCCTCCTCCAGCTGCCTCTTCAACTGCTTCATGCGGGAGTTTGCCTTCTCCATCTGAAGACAGACAGAAATTCTGAGTCTCAGGTTTCTCTCTTATGAGAGAAAAGCAACTAACTACAATTTATTGTGCATTATGTTTAGAGCTGTAAATCTGAAATTGAATTTAGCTCGGAGAGCAAAGTGGTTCGCAATTTATTTGACTAAGGTATAACGTAATAATTGAGCAGCACATCAGCGTATAAGAATGACTTCTGAAGGATCATCTGACACTGAAGATTGAAGTAATGATGCTACAAATTTTGTTTTGCCATCACAAGAATAAATTACGTTTTAAAATACAGTACATTCAAATAGTAAACAGTTGTAATAATATTTCACAATAGAACTGTTTTTACTGCATTTTTGATCAAATAAATGCTGCCTTGTGACAAGTTTATCCACAAAATCTGTCCAGCACCTTGGTAGCATAGTTTTGGAAAAAACTTGTAGAAATGCTATAAAACCAGCCAATCAGAAAATGCTTTTCAGCATAAGCTGCTGGGGACCTAGTACACTTTGAGAACGGAGATTAGGATTTGGGTTTCATTCACCTGCTCTTTGTACTGGTCAGCATGGCGACGCTCATCCTCCACTTGCATGAACACCTCCTTGAGTTTCTTCTCTGTGCGACGCACAATCTTATTGGCTGCAGCTCTCTCCCTGTGAAGCGCACAGATCATACACCATTGCCAAAACACAAGTTAGTGCCAATGGTTTTCGTTCAGTCAGAACGTGGTGGGTTTCTTTTCACGGTTGCTTACTTTGCTTCCTGTTCAAGCTGCTCCTCTAGCTGGATAATCTTGGCCTCCAGGGCGGCGATAGAGGCCTTGAACTTTGATTTGATGGATCCCTCAAGTTCCTGCAGTTTGGCCTTCAAATCTTTGTTTTGCCGCTCCAGCTGCTGACGGGCGTTCTCGCTCTTCTGGGCGGCACTGCGCTCTCCCGCCAGCTCTGTGTTCAGGGTATCCACCTGAAATACAGACACAACAGCTCTGACTAAAGACGTGATGTGTCAAATGTAGCCAAGAATGCTTATGAAGATGACAATTAGACATCTTGCAAAGATCACAAGCGCACAGAAATTTGAGAGCAGGCCATGATGACAAGTTTAAGAGTGTTGAAAACATAGCTTGATCATAATTACAGCAGCTTCCTCAACACCACACCTGCATAGTGGTCTTGCGGAAGCGGTCGTTCAGGAGCTCCATATTGCTCTGTTCCTCCTCTAGCTCTTCCTCCAGCTGGGCAATACGAGCCTCCAGCCTCCTCTTCTCATCCAAGAGGGCTGCCCTGAAGAAGTGAAAGTTAGAAAGAAAATTAGTTGCGACTTCCGGTTCACACTGACTTTGAGAGGTTTGCAGCACAATGACTCACTTTCCAGAGGCACTGTTGGAAATCTCATCTGCAAGCTCGTCTCTTTCCTGTTCAGCGTGGCGTCGGGCTCTCTCTGAAGATGCCAGGTCCTAAAATCACAACCAAACCATAAACAAAGACTCGCCTGTTGAACTAATCCAACTTAAAACTGTGTAGAAAAACAAGCAACAGATTCTTCAGAAAGGCTTTTTTCAAACAGACGTGTATTTCAGTGTCGGCTCACCTCTTGCAGCTGCAGAATCTCAGCCTCGAGACTCTTGAGCTTCTTCTCGTTCTCCTTAGACTGAGCGAAGATATCATCACGAGAAGCGCGCGCCTCCTCCAGCTCCCTCTGGTAGTCCTTCATCTGGGCCTGGATCAAAACAGAGAGATGTTGCCATCTGTTCTTCTCACATTTTGTCGTATCACTATACTGACTATGACCTAAAATATTAAGTCTCAGTAATGCAGTCAATGATGTAGACATCTGTGTCACTACTAAAAGGCAGATGCACTTGGAGCTTGTGAGGATAAACAGATTATGCTAACAAGTCATTTCTTGCGTTATCTTTACATTTCTGTGCATGAACAGCAGCATTCTGGAAAAGATTCTACCTGGAGTTTGCGTAGCTGTTTAATGGCTTCATCACGGGCCTTGTTTGCAGCCTCGATCTGAGCTTCCACATCTTTGAGGTCCATCTCCAGTTTCTTCTTGGCAGCTACAGCAAGAGCTCTCTGCTTCCTTTCATCTTCAAGCTCTGCCTCCATCTCACGCACCTGAAGGAACAGGAATCATGGATCAAAAACGTATATCAGACAGGTTAACTATGAATGAAAACTATTTCAGACTGTCACAAATTTGTTACTTGTTGCTTCTTAAGGTATTAACCCTTTTTTACACAAAGTTGCCTCAAGACTTACTTTCTTTACTGGAAAGCACATGGTTAATTTCTTAACTGTCACTTTTGATTAACTGAATGCTTTTTTCTGAATAAAAATAATTTCAATGAAGGTAGTGTATTTATTTTTTAAAGATTTTTTAAGTTTAAATGGAGTGTAAATAATATTTTGATACATACAAAGATGTGTGTATGTATATATATATATATATATATATATATACACACACACATATATATCATGTGTGTGAATATATAGTGAATAAATTACGAATCTTAAAGGATAATCTTCATCTCCAAATGGCTTGTAATCCTCAAAAATGATAATTCCACCCACCTGTTTGACCAGTGCCCTCTTCTTCTCCTCATTCTGCTCATCTCTGGCCTGCAGGTCTCGGTCAAACTGGGCGAATCTTAAAGGATAATCTTCATCTCCAAATGGCTTGTAATCCTCAAAAATGATAATTCCACCCACCTGTTTGACCAGTGCCCTCTTCTTCTCCTCATTCTGCTCATCTCTGGCCTGCAGGTCTCGGTCAAACTGGGCCTTCATGGCCTGCATGTTGACCTCCAGACGCAGCTTGGCATCCTCTGTGGCCTGTAGCTCGTCCTCCAGCTCCTCCAACTGAGTGCGCATCTCCTCTACCTGCTGCTCCAGAGTGCGCTTGGATTTCTCTAGCTCATGCACCTACAGATTATAGAACGTAAAAAAAAATTACAGTGAGATAGCGTTATAACCAGTGATCAGCTGCTAAATGATAAATCCAGGATCCAGGACTTCTCTACTCATTCATATTTACTCCACATTTCTACAATTATTTTTTTAAAGACTGCAGAGGAAGATTTTCATTTTTCATAAATTTTCACGTTTTTCAAACCACTTTCTACATTACATTTTTATGATATCTCTAGACCTGGAAATCACAATTTTAAAATTCCCTGATTCCTCCCATTTTCAAATTAGCTTTTTATTTAATTTTTTGCTTCTATGGTTGCCACAGCACTCTGAGTAGATCCAAAGAGTGAAATTTCATCATCCCAAAATCTTGCTCCAAATACTGCACATTAAACATGCATATGTTGTGACTGGCTGATGAAGTATTCTGTTGTCAGTGATGACAGGCAAATTACTTGACACCTGAAACTTGTTGCATCACACTTAGTTATCACATGCTGTAGGGTGTCAGCACATTATGAGGTCTTAAAACAAAAACAGCCAACAAAATCTGCTGTTTACAAAACACCAAAGGTTCTTTAAACATCATGATGATGAATCCAAACATAACCACATATGTAATATAACAGCACAAACATCCAGTAACATACTGACTTACATTCTTGCCTACGTCATCCTTGGAACTCATCAGATCCTCCATCTCAGCTCTGAGCTGCTTGTTGAGTCTCTCAAATTCCTCTTTAGCCTCCAGAGCTTCATCCAGGGCTCGGGCCATAGACAGAGCTTTGGTCTCCTTCTCTCTCGCCTCGGCCTCAGCACGGTCCCTCTCCTCAGCGTAACGTGCAGAGATGGTCTTCTCCTCCGCCAGCATCTGACATACACGTCAACAAATGCTTTTGTAAGATTGTTGTTAACATAATTAACAAATGTTTTTCATTAGAATTGAATGATAATAAAAAAATAAAATTACAATTTAGCATTATACATAAAAAAAAATTCACTTAAAAATGTAAATGCTGAAAATCAGCTGGTAACCCTCATATTGTTGTTCATCTTTTCAAATACAAATTAAGATATTTCAAATGAAACCTGTAAGATTTCTGTCCATCTATTGAAAGTACATTCCACTAAAACTTCAAAAAAGTAAAAGTTGGTTCTCACACATCAAGCAAGCATGCTTGAGCTTCAGTTTCCCACATTTGATGAACTCTATATATGTGCATTGATCAGTTTATTGTGAAACTAAAAACCTAAATTAAATCTGTTCATCATATAAAGCAATTGTGTCTTTTTCAGAAGTCTTGGATTAAATTAAGCTTTAAAACTTCAAATTACATGTCAAGTTTTGGTGAATGGACTTTCAATAGAAGGACAGAGCTTCATATCTTCATTTATTTTTCAAAGAGGTGTGATAAGTCCTATGGTTTTGAAATGACATGAGGGAGATTAAAAGACAGAAATTTAACTTTTGGGTGAAATGTTGTTTAGCCAAAACAATTCATACCTGGTCAAACTTCTTCTGTTTCTTCTCCAGGTTTGAGACGATCTGTCTCTGGTGGTCCAGGTCCACCATAAGGTCATCAAGCTCCTGCTGCAGCCTGTTCTTGGTTTTCTCCAGCTTGTCGTAAGCAATGGCCTTTTCCTCCAGTTTCTGACTGGTCCCCTCCATGTCTTTCTGCAGTTTCCTCTTGACCTCCTCCAGGCCTTCAAGAGCTCCCACATCATCCTCCAGCTTTTTCTTGGTATCCACCAGCTATCCAAGAAAGGCGGATTACAGAGGAGTGCTTTTACTTTCAAATGTTTGAGTAGTAAATAGTATATCGGATTCCCTTTCTGAACAGAAGTCTGAAAATTACACTTTTACATAACCCACTTTTGGTCAAATATGACAGGCTTTTGTGAGGTTCTAGCCAACATGTCACTGGTAGAGTAAAACATAATTTTGTGTCAACTGATGTGCAAGATGTTGATATAATCTGACTTGCCGTCTGCCCTAATAAAAGAATATGGAGTGATTGTGCATACTTGGGATTGTAGTGTTGCCAGTTGTCTCTCCAGGTTCCTTCGCGCCTCCTCTTCCTCCTCCTGCTGCTCCTGAAGGCTGTTCTTCTCCTCCTCCAGTTGACGGATACGGCTGCTCAGGTTCAGCTTTTGACGCGTCTCCTCTTGAAGCAGCTCCTATATCCACAATATTAAACAATCATGACTCAATCACATCTCACACACCTTTTCTGTAAAAAGTCTATCAATTGTTTTTATTAATTATCTATTGTTTTATTATTCTATGTCATTGCTTCATCCACTCTTGCAGGGCTTCCTGTTTGCAGAGACGCATTACCTGAGTGTCCTGAAGCTGGCTCTCTAGGCTGGAGGCATCTTTGGCCAGCTTAATTCCCTTCTTCTCAGCATCTTCCAATAGAGCAGAAACATTGTCCAGTTCCGCCTGCAATAAATGATAAATAAATAAATAAATTTACAGTGGAGAGATTTCACACAAATACCCTCGATTCTGATCTATTTAAGGTTGCTTTCACACTTGGCTTGACAGCCTGGTCCGAACCTAATATATACAATTAATTGTAATAATTGCAGATTTAATGATTGCAGGTCTCATATGAAACTCTGAGTCAGAATTTAACAGAACAGTTTAATTCCATGTAGTAAATAAATGTTTGTTTTAAAATTGTGCATTTAAAAAAAAAGCTTCAGGTCTGCTGTGATTATTTGTAGGGCTGCACAATGTTGTGATTATATACCAATATGACTATAAAATCATATATGAAACTGGTTATTATATAATAATGTAATAGTACACACGCTAATATTTAATTACTGCCATTTGCAATTTATTTAATAATAGTTACAATTAATTATAAAAATTGCCAATTTAATGATTGCAATTTGATAAATTCACATCAAGCCATAATCGTGATTAGGGTTTTATTTTGATTAACCGTGCAGCCCTTATTACAGCCACACTTTCAGTCTGCAAAAAAACAATGAAACAACAGTTATCTGTAGTGTGTGAGGAAGGACGGAGTGTAACAATATTTCATGAAACTGGGAGTAACAGAAATTATTCTGATATGAAGTGTAACAGAACTCGCTTGTAGTTTATGTGACAGTCTAACAGCACTGACCTGTAGTTTGTGGGAACGGTCTGAAAGTTCTCCTTTAACCTTCTCTCCCTCGCTGAAGCGGGCCATGAACTCCTGCAGCTGAGCCTCAAGTTTCTTTCTCTTGTGCTCAGATTCAGACTTGGCTTGCTGCAAACTCTTCACATCATTGGTCAGCTCCTTATTATCACTCTCCAGAGTCTGTTTGTTTTTCTCCAGATTTGACTTCACCTAATGTTGACAGACAGACCGTGTGAGAGAGAGAGAGAGAGAGAGATTTTGCCTGAACTGTATAAACAGGAGACCATACCATATTCAATCACTGAACGAGGAAATGAATTCCAAACACATCATTCTGACAGCAGACTGGCAGTGTTCCAGTCGAGACATTAGAACTGAAATCCCTCACTACAGTAATGAGTCATTTACTCTTCATCTCTGTGGCTTACTCTCTTGGCCTGCTCCAGCTGCTCAGAAATCTCCTCCAGAGATGTGCCGTGCCTCTGTCTCATCTCCTGGATCTGAGACTCATGGTTTTTTATCTCATCATCAATGGCCTTCTTCAGCTCTGCCACCTCCTGCTCTCGTTTGGTCCTTCATGAGCAAAAGACACATGATTAGGCAAGACACATTTGAGGAGAAAGGGTTCCTCAAATGTGAGAGATTTCAATTAACTTAATCTGGCTTAAATGGCTCTCCAATTACATTACCAAAAGACTCATTTGAACTAGTCAAGCGTAGAAAAATGTTGGCACCAAGGTTTTAGCATAGTTTTGATATGTCTTCTTTTCTTTCACCTAAAAACAACAATTCTGTCCTCATTTACTCATCCTCCACACGTTCCAATCCTGTACAAGTTTCTTTCTTCTGCTGAGCACAAAAGAAGATATTTTAAAGAATGCTGGTAACCAAACAGATTTCCATAGTATGGGAAAAAATACTATGGAAGTCAATGGCTACCATCAACTGTTTGGTTACCAACATTCTTTAAAAGGTTTGAAACAAGTGAAGGGTAAGTAAATAACAGAATTTTCATTTTTGGGTGAATTATGCCTTTAAAAATTTGTTCCATTTTGTGGTCATGATAAATTTAGTTCCTGATGCAGACTCTTGTACCTCAGCTCCTGCTGGGCGGCAGTGGTGTCCAGGGTGTCTTCCAGCTCAGTCTTCAGAGCCTCCAGTTCCTCACTCAGATCTCTCTTAAGTTTCTCAGCTTTGTTTCTGGCTGCTTTCTCAGACTCCAGATCCTCCTGGAGCTCAGCTAGCTGGGCCTGCAGCTCCCGCACTTGCTTCAGAGCATTGTTCTTCTGAGCGACCTCTTCATCACCTCTGGGGAACAACAAGGATAAGCAAAGATTATTAACAAAACCATGCATGCTAAATTAAAGGAGTTATATTCTACACTTTGTTTATAAACTCTTTCTAACCCTGATTAATTAAATAGTTCTGAAATGAATACGAATACTTTTATTCAGCAAAAACACATTAAATTGGTCACATGCAACAAAGAGTTTTATAATGTCACAAAAGATTTCTAGGTAACAATTTATTTTAAGGTGTCCTTGTTACACGTTACATGTACTTACCATTATAATAACAATTAATTATGCATAATTACATGCAAGTAACCCAAAGCCTAACCCTAACTGTATAGTAAGTACATGTAGTTAATTAATATTACTCCGTACTTAAATTACTTAATACTTAAACTCCGACACCTTAAAATAAAGTGTAACCGATTTCTATTTCAAATTATCACTTCTTTTAAATTGTAATTATATTTCTCAACATTTAAAACATTATCACTGTATTTTTGCCTTGGTAAACATAACAGATTTAAAATAAAATAATACAGACTGAACACCCCTGTTATATATATAACATGGGAAAGCATGTTTTTGTGTGTATTCATGATGTGATGTCGCAACAGCAATGAGATACCAATTTACTAAATTATTTCAGGACTGCACAATGTTAACAAACACAAAGGTCAAGAATAAAAACTTTCCATGACTAATATTCCAATTTATATGACGCCAACATAACTCGGCCTACCATAAGTTATTGTTTTGACATGGTCAGCTAGACGACAGCCAAACTATTTTGTTATTCTGTGTTCCTCAATGACTAGATCTTCACCTGGCCAGTACAGCCTGTAGCTCTTCTTCTTTCTTGGCCAGTTGGATCTTGAGTTCCTCAATCTGGGCCTGCAGCTCAGCTATCTGGTCCTGTAGGTCTGTGGTCTCAGCATCCAGCTTTCTTTTGGCTTTCTCAAGCTCCTGCCTAGTTTTCTCCTCTTTCTTCAGACGCTCTGAGGGTCAAACACGCACACATAAATGTAAGACTCACTGCTTTACATTCACTTATATAAAATGACCCAAATTCAACCCAGTCCTCACCTTCCAGGTCTACCATCATCATTTCTTGCTTGTTTCTGACTTTGCTAAGGTTCTTGGCCTTCTCTTCTTCCTCAGCCAACTGGGAGGTCATCTCACTGACACGGTCCTCCAGGAGTTTTTTCTCCTGAGGGATAGAGAGGAAAGGAAGAGTTCAGTTTGCTCCTGCAAAGTTCTTCTCAGAGCATTCCTACAACAAAGGCCATGGGTTGCATTTTGATTAGGCAGAATGACATCTGCACTGACCTTTAGGAATTTGGAGTTCTGGTCCTCCAACAGCAGAATATCTTCCTCCATCTTTTTTATCTTGGCTTCAGCAGTCACCTTCTCCAACTGAAGCTTCTGTCGGGCAGCCTCTTCTTCATCTAGTTGTTCCTCTAGGTCCTGAAGTCATGCACACACACACACACACTTGTAGTTTCTGTACAGCAGCAGTGTAGGACTTTGTGAGTCTTTTTAGCTAAGTACTTGCTCAATTCATTATTCCAACCCAGAAGTTTTAGATACAGATTTCCTCTCTCAGAGCAGAGAGGCCTATTTTAAAGTTTACAGCAGATCAAGGACTATATTTCCACAGTGAAGTCCTCACCTGTATGTGCGACTGCGTTTTCTTCTTCTCATTCTGCAAAGATTGGTTCCTCTCCTCTTCCTCCTCCACACGGGACTCCAGGTCATGAAGAATCTCCTCCAGCTCTTGTTTTTTAGCCACCAGGCGAGCCCTCATCTCTTCAGCTTCAGCAAACAATTCTGTCTCAGCCTGCAGTTGCTCTGCCAAGATGTTCTTCTCCTCCAAAAGCTGAAACAAACATCAAACCAGATCTTCTCTCGGTTTCTACAAAATGTTTAGCACTCAATTTGTTTGACAGAGTCACTATGATTTCGTAACACTGCAGAATATCCACTACATTGAATAAAGCCACAAGAGATCACTAGATTCTCTATCTAGTGATAGATATCGAGATTTTAGAAAATCAAGATTTTAGAAAGCAACATAATTCAAGTGTGGCCATTTACATATATCAGATACGTAACAGTGTCTTTAAATGTGGCTCATTCCATCCATTATTAGGTCAAACACTAACACAACACTTAAATAACACTGTATTTTCAGAAGACAGAGGGAGCAGGTGAGTGTGTGCTAACCTGCTGGTGTTTCCGCTCCATTTCCACCAGTTCGTTCTCTACTTTCACTTGCTTCTCCTTCACTTTAATGAGCTCCTCATCCTTGGCCTGCATTTCTTCCTCCTGACGGGTCACCTGGAGGAGGGGTTTCACCTGCAGACACACATGTAATGCATGTCTCAAATGAAAACTATCTGCAACAATACTGCAAACAAGTTTTTAAAGATTCAATTTCTCTTGCAAACACATACATTTCTTTTAGACAAGTATACAAAACCTGGTCAAATCATTAAAACGAACTCTTTCAAAAACCGAGACCAACCTTGGTGAAAAGTCTCCACCACTGCCAGTGGCGTAGTTTCAGGTAGGCGGCACAGTTTCTCTGCAGGACTTTCAAAGCGCTTAGCTGCTGCTGTTTTTTAGCAAAGGCTCTGAGAAACACAACAGCAAAACAGCAGCAGTTCACAGTCAAGGTCTCATAAGAATACATTTTATTTCTACACTATAAACAGTAAGAGCTGCATATCACTGCTGCCCCTTTTAGACCAGATTTAGATCAGCCATCTCCATTTGGACTCACTTGCGAGCCAGATATCCTCGACAGACTGACTGAAAGTAGATGATGATATCTGTTATTTTCAGGTCTCTCTCCTCCTCCAGGTGTGCCAAAACTCCAGTGCGAAAGAAGATCTTACTCTGCCCGATCCGGTAGAGGTTTGGGTCAAGCTCCAAGGCTCGGATCTACAGATCAGATTATTAGATGATACTTAGTATTTAGCAGATGCAAAATTTCAGATGCTGGTTTATCAATAATTGGCATCAGTAAAAACTTCTATGAAAAGACAGAATGAACATAAAATAATTAACTCTTCAAAGTGCACCTTTAATTTTACACTTATTTATATAAATTATTAAATTATACAAATACATTTTATTATTATGATAAAGCTCTTTGGAGAGATGCATTATTGAGCTATAAGGTCTGATTTGGAAATTAAGCTCATTATTTTTGGAAGTGACATTTGGATATACCAATTTTAATTATGAAAAGAAAACAACTTAAATGTAGTGAAAATCTATCTGAAAATGATAATTAAAAAAAAAAAGTTTAAAACAATTACTCCACCATTGGTATGTTTGGGTCAGTAAGATTTTTTTATGCTCACCAAGACTGCTTTTATTTGATAGCTCTAATTCAACAACACCAAGCAGAAGGTCAAAATACGCTGTGTATTTTTGCATTCTTACAAAAACCATTTAATAATAACAAAAAAAAACTGTCCTTTGATTCCTTCAGTCCTTTAATCGTCATATCCCAAAAGAAAACCGAAAATAACTTTCAGAAAGTAGTACAGTGTATTTTGACTCAATGCCACAAGTTTAGACAGTCAATTCAAGAGACAATGGCCCCCCTACTATGCCAGCAGGTGCAGGTCCAATGCTACGCAAATGGAGACATGAAACAGATGAAGAGTGCCAAGGATAAGACCACATCTATAAACAAGCACAAGCTGCAAAAGAAAGTAAATGGAAGGGTGAACCTCAAAACCTGTCAAGATCATGTCCAGGACATACTTCACACCAATATCTTGCAGTTCATTGAGTCAGATGTTAATTCAGCAACTGCTCTCATGGTTTCATCAGACAGATTTAAACCAGTAATGCTTAACTCCTCTTGTCACCTGCTTGTGAATCAGACTACACTGATAACATTGTGTGCAGCCCATATTTACAACTAATTAAATCGAATTTCTTTTGGTGTGGCGAATTTCAATGGCAGTGTGCATTTAGCAGTGCAGTGAACAGTGCTTTAAGTTTATAAAAAGTTTATTCTATTTATAAAAAAAAAAGTTAATATATTTTGCTTAAATAATGGTCCTTAAAAGGCTTTATTTTAAGATGTTTCCCTCAAGTACATTTTCCACTCCAATTCTTGTTACAGAATTACAGAATACAAAAAAGCGCATTGTAAAGTATTGATACATTGTGTAAGCATTTGTTGTAGTATGTTGATTTCAGTAAAACAAATCATAGTTTTGTCATTATTTTTACTCTACTACAGAAATGAGATTCTAACAAGAAACAACAAAACTTCTCAAATTCAAAATAAAGCATTTGGATGCATTACAGCAATTTAAATCGAGGGAAAATGTTGTTGTTTTTTTCTTTTGAGTGAAATATGACCCAGACATGTAAATCAAGTTCTCTTTCTAAGTAATGTTACTAAAGAGGTCTCCTTTCAGCAACTGAATAAATAAATGTGAATAAATAAGACCCTAATCAGAAAAATTATATTCACAAATTTGAGTCTGATAACAGTGTCCTACAGCAAAACAAGTCAAACTTCAATCACTCAACACACAAGTAATCAAAAACTACATATTCTTTTTGATTTATTGGAGGCTGGTTAAGTGTAACTACTGAGGCTATATTAATAATTCTAGGTCTTGCAGCATTCCTGCAAACGTCATTCTTAAGAACCACTTCCAAGTACTGTTCTGTTCATAATGGGCTCCTGACGTGACTTCCGTTACCTCCATGGAGAATTTACTGAGCTGTCAGTGTTGACTGGCACAGGGCTGAGCGAGTCATTTGGATTCCAGTGAAACAAGACGTGTATTGTTCCGTGTTCCCTGTTGGAGACACTACAGAACTCCTCCACCCCTCACCCAAACTCCATCTCCCTCACACGGCCTATCAAATCACCATCTGACACTTAAAACAAACAAGTTATCTGACCGACAGAAGCAAGGGCATAAGCACCGTACCACACACACACCGCTCTGACTGCTGTAAACTAAGCTGTGTTTGAGGGAATCTCGTGAAAACCAGGTCAGGTCATATTTCACTGTGAAATCTAAATTTTAAAAGGAAATAATATTTAGCATTAAGTCCATTTTAGGACAATGTTTTTGACAATTAAGCAAATTTTCAACCAAAACTGTCATTATCATAATGTGTCCAGACTAGGGATGCTCCGATCAGGATTTTTGCAGCCGATACTGAGTACCGATTTCTTGTCATGGTGATCGGCTGATACTGATGCTGATTCTGATGCTTCAAGCTTTACATAGACGGTTTCATCAGACGCATGCGCCTGGCCCGGTCCGGCCCGAAGTTAACTTCAGGTCTGTGTTTGTTTATCAGTCTGGCTATGGCACCGGCTACAAACGCAGTTAAATTTAAGGTGATGAGTAGACTGAAGTTGGGCTCAAGTGGTTGTGCTGTGTGATGTGTTTCCCATACATTTATTTATTTGTGGCGCTCACCACAATATCAAAACTGACGGATTTTCCAAAAGGCTTCCTTGAATAAACATGAGCACGTACTGCACGTTTAAAAATCAAAACGAGGCGCGGGTGTTTTTATATTACTTTGTGTACAGCCGTTACTGGGGAAACCTGTTTCTCCCGCTTTAAAGAACCTCCTGCTGGCAGCAAATTAATTTGCATTTTCAGTAAAGAAAGGAGTAAAGCCTGTGTTAATGCTATTGAGTAGGCTAATATGGCCAAAGAAGTTATTTTGTTTTATAAATAAATGTTAATTTAAGATCAGCCCACGATAAGTGTATTATGTTACCGTTATCCCTTACGGCTTCGACGAGGTTTTGTTTCATCCTCCACGCCGTGACACCTCACAAAAGACTATTTTTAGCCAAGCAGAAACGTGCCGCGGCTGGCTGATAAACACAAGCACTGACTAGAGCACTGACCAGCTCCAGTTCTCGTGGAGCTGTAATGCGCCGCAGACGTGTGCAGTGAGGCGCAGATCAGCTCTAACGTCACTGAATCTGCTGTTAAAAATTAACCATCCATTCATCATATCATCATGCAAAACATACACTACAAATAGCAAATTTTTTCGTCGTCATGCATTGACGTCATCAAATTGCGATCGGTTCGTGAGATTGGCCAAGTTAGTGAGTACCGATCAAGTCATAAAATGTGATTATCAGCCGATGCCGATCTCCAGCCGATCGATCGGAGCATCCCTAGTCCAGACACTTTTTTTTTTTTTACTCATTACGGTTGAAGATTCTTATTACTGTACTATAGTCATTTTTTATAATAACTTGTGATTTACTGCAATGAAAATGATCTTAAAATAGCTTTATTTTATTATAAAATTTGCTTGTAGATAAATATTTTTTAAAAACTACATTTATGACAGACAGATAGACAGATAGATAGATACTTATTTTCTATAAGCAAAGCATATTTCTATTTGACTTGGGGGTGAAATGTGACCAGGTTTTCAGAATCACCTATTCTTGTGAAAATGGCCTTTTTCAAAACGGTCTGGACTAAAAAAACTGCTAGAGGTGTGGATTTAATAACAATTTTACACTTAACATAGTTTTTAAAGTAATAAATTACAGGGAAAACATTTAGCAAGTGTGTGAATCAAAATTGCTGAAAGGACTCAAAGAACAAGCAGGGCCCTAATCCTTGTAGCCAGCGCACCCATAGAGTCACCTTCAATTGTTTGTTATGCAGTGTCTGTACTCTGTATTAAGTCACTATGCACATGCATTAATTTTTCATGCAATCTTCATTCATGGTCAGTTTGGGCTTCCTAATGAATCAGCCAAGTCACGCTTCCTTCCAAATGGATCCAGCTAACTCTAAAGTTAGCCAGCTAGAGGGACCAGGGCCCAGGTCTACAAGCCATGGTGGGAGTGTTTGAAAGTACACAATGCGCTGGTAAGCAGAGACCTACAGCATCGTATACCTTCACTTGGCGATTCATGGAGACTAGAGACATCATAAAAATACGCTCTTTGGATATTCTGAATCTCTATGGTCGAGAGACAGAGAAAGGGGGCAAAGGGGGGGATAAACAAGAAAAAAAGCAAAATAAAAAAGTAGTAGTAGAACACAGCTAGCACATAATAGACATAAATGGTAGTAAACACACTGGTTAGTGCTGTGCAACACAAGTGAGAATAAGCACTAGTCTCTAATGCTTTTGGATATGTGTACTTTCAATTAAACATTTTAAGATCCTGCTGATCGATCTTAGCACACACATTCTATTTTGTATTTACTTCCGAGTAATTATTTTGCCACAGTCTTAATAATTTTATATGAAAAGTGTATCATGTTATTCATTATACACAGTTATTTTGGCTGGAAATACAGTCAATGCTGAAATAAGACACAATATTTGACACATCCCACTCTGTATTTTTGCATTATTTCATATTTCCTCACTGCTTTAATCTGTAATTAATGTAGAGCAGCCCTGCTTACAACTACAGTGCAAATATATGTTGTGGTACCAACAGTATTGCAGAATGTCTTGTTGGACACATTTTTATTCACACACACCGCCCAGCCCAAAGTTTGACTCTTTGCAACTGAATTAATAATTCCCCCCACTACGTTAAAATATTTGCAACAAGCCACTGAAATGCATGACAAGCTCTTTTTACAAGACACACAAGATGTGAAACTGAAGACTGAAAACAACAGTCTCTTTCTTCACAGAGTGGGAGGGTAGAACCATAAAAACTAGCCGTTTTACGTTTCAGGGAATCTGGAAGGCACTCGAGAAGAAAACAGCTTACCATCCTTCCACAGTTCAGCCACAAACTTATCCGTGGACTGGTGCAGGAGTGTGGCCACGTTGTCATTTAGAGGGTCCATGTTTTTCATCAACCACTCATCTGCCTTATAGTCAACCTGCAAAATGAGAGTAATAAACAGTACGTTAACAACCTCAAGATGGGAAGAATGGAATTAAGCCAGGATTGGTTAAATCTGGATCGTTTAATTTAAGAGGTACTGCAGTTCAGTGGCCGTTGGCTGTTTGCATAGTGTTATGTAACTACTGAAAGTGATAAAGTATAAATCAATGCACTGTTTTTTTTTTACTTAAACAACAGGAAACAAAGCAAACTCTAATTTTCTGGCTTTTAACCCAAACATAGCTCAAAGGGAGAGAAATATCAAAAGTCCCTTATTTCATGCAGTGTCAAGTTTCCATTGCAAACAGCTCACTGATCTGAAACAGATGTGGCCTATGGTTAGCACATACCACAGCTGGATGCTGCTACCCTTGAAAGACAGCAATGCAACATTTCACTGCAAGCCAGTTTGACCTGACTAAATCCAATTACATAAGGTTACGATGCATTCCTTTTTTATTTGAAACACTAACAGGCCTTCATTACAAAAACCATCACAGGACTGAAGCACAAGAGGGGAAGCCAACAGCTATGTGTAGTTTAATTAATATGAATGCAGACGTACCCTGCCAGCATAGTGAATGATGCTGAAATCAGCTTTGTCCTTCAGCTGCCGTGGTTTCTGGAACTTGGCATGAGTGCCTTGCTCTTGCACCAGTTTGTCCACAAAGGTTTTATCAGTGGCTTTTGGAAACCAGCACTCCTCATCCAACAGAGCCAACACACCGGGAGGATTTGCCTGGGAATGGTACCATAGGACCGATCAAAACAACTTCTAGAAAAACCAACAGAAAGCACTTTGCTTCCACAGTAACTTCAAAATCACATGAAATTTTGCAAATATTTGAGGTAGAAAATAATTCTAGGAACCCAGAACAAAAATTCAAGGGTGGTGAGCGCTCACTGGTCTCTCGATGAGGTCAATGCAGGGCTGCAGGTCGAGGCCGAAGTCGATGAAGCTCCACTCGATGCCTTCACGCTGGTACTCCTCCTGCTCCAGGATGAACATGGTGTGGTTGAACAGCTGCTGAAGCTTCTCGTTGGTGTAGTTGATGCAGAGCTGCTCAAATGAGTTCAGCTGCCAAGAGATGGAGAAAGCAATAAAATATGTTCAAACCGTCTTTGTCCATAGCATTTTTAAGTCCCAGAACATGCATGATAGATTCTTTCACCAACATCAGTATCTTCAATATCACATAACTAAATACTGCAGTTATGAGTGGGTATCCAATTACGCTATTTACTGTAAACCTTGTAATTTCATCCTAACTATACCATAATTACATTACTCAATTGAGTAGATGCATCTTAACCAAAGCAAGACAGCAAGGACATCCTCCAGCACAACCTGAAGAAACCTTCTTAAGGATTTAGGAATTCAAAATTTTTTTTTCCCCTCCATTTTTTCCATAAATTTTTCTGGACTCTGTTTTAATGGTATAATTACATTTTAGTAATCAAAAAGCATGTCTAAACAAACGCTGGTAATTAAAGAAATATTAACAATCCAATTAATCTTTAAAAATGCAATCAAATTTTGATTGGCCTTTTATTTTTGCCAAGCAGTGATCACAATAGAGGCTTACTACTAAAACATGAAAAAAAAACTGTAGTAATAAAATTGGAACAAAACTTAATTTTGTATTACTACCTTGAGAAGTACATTCTGTGGCACAATAGTAATATATTTTTATGAACTCAATTCATTCTTCATTTTCTTCATAGAAATGCTGTCATCTTCTATAATCACTGTTTTTAATCAGTGATGAAACCTACTAATACTGTGGTATGCTTAAAATCTGTTAAACTAAATTCAATTTGTCCCATGCAATATCTTTTTATACACAAAACTTACAGTATTTTCAAGTTCTTGCATTGCCTGCATTTTTAGAAAACCTCATATCATATGACCTCTGATTTGTTGCAGTATAGTGATTAATATCTATGATTTAGCGCAAGAGACAGCTGAGCCAAGGAAGCCACACCTGGAATATCTCAAAGCCAGCAATGTCCAGGATGCCAATGAAGGAAGCTCCCTGGCGCTTGGTCCTGTCCAGAGCTTTATTAATGCGGTGAACAAGCCAGCGGAACAACCTTTCGTATGTGGCCTTGGCCAGGGCTTCCACTGCAAAGTCGGCCTGGTCAGAGAAACAGGATCAGGCAAAGGGAATAAGTGACATAAAGCTCACATTTACAAAAAATATGTGTTATGATATAGAATCACACTATTTTAACACAGATACAAAAGTAGGGTTGGGTTTCAACAACCGGTTTCATCTTAGAAGTCAATAGGACACGTTTCTTTTTTATTGGAATACATAAGCAGAATCCATATTGCTGAAATTCAAATACCCAACCCTAAAAATGGTAAGCAAAACCTGAAATGACCCTTCTAGTGGAATTATTTTCCGAACAGGTTTCCCAAACACTACTCCCTCTGCAGAATTTGTTCAGTTATGATGACATTTTAATGACAGGAGACTAGCAGCCTATTGTTGTAAAAGGACAGAGGTGAAAAGGAAATGTGAATAGAACAAAAGTACAGCAATGGTCTACAATCAGGCCTGACAAGATTCAAGAGTAATGAAAACACTGCTTTACAGCTGAAAGGGTGGGAGATTTGACAGATATACAGTGGAAAACTTAATAGCTCATTACCTGCTCCTTAGTTTGGGCTTTTTGTACATAGTCTCTGCCCACTTTGATTCTTGGAGACAGGATGGCACGTGTGAACTCCATGACATTAATGCCAAGCAGGTGGCAAAGCTTTTGAGCAGCTGAAAAACAGAAAATACACACTTGTTCACAAAATGGTCCTCTAACGCAAGCCGACCAAAAATGGTGACATTCTTTTTCGATTTATAGGATTTTAGAAGTATCCCTTATGCACTTAAATGGTGGTGAGAGAAGTTATTATGGGACATTTTTTCTCATGAATATAAGAGGTATTTCAAATAAGTCAGGTCGTTATTGCAATTTACTGACTTCTAAACCCCTACAGCCCATTTAGCAGCCAAACAAACCCCAAGAGTTCCCCCTCAGGACCACCAGCACGACTAACTTTCCAGCTTCAATTCGTGAATGACTTGGTGGCTTGAACAGATGAAAGTTTCAATATCATACCATGAACGGTGATGATAAAAACAAATGAATCAAAATGCCAGTGGAGTAAGCTTGCTGGAATGCATCATGATGGTAAAACGGTCACTTTTGGGGCTCTTACGTAAACCCGTTTGATTTAACGCAACTTAGCACAACTATTCCGGTATTTTTTTTTTTATATGAAACATATCCAAAAACCATTCAAACTGTCATCATGGGAGCCCAAGAGAAGTCCAATGGGTAATTTGTCAAAACAGAGCCGTGGAGAACTGCACAAAAACATCTGGTGCAGGGGTTAGATTGGAGGGTAGTGGGAATACCAAACACAATTTCATGCTAATGCACTGCCAAAGGATTTACAGAGTTATTAAAGTACTTCACATAATACATTAGATTTCCATTACTGAAAAAAAGAAACGTTATCTCTGTGCTAAAATAAGGCATTATGCATTTCTGAAACTTGTAAAACAGATGAGTACCTGTATTTTCTGGCATAGAGGCCTGGTCGGTGTTTCTCTCCTTCTTGAACACAATGTTGCCAAACTGCAGGACAGCTGATACCACCTTGAGCATTGCTGCAGTGACGAAAAAAAAAAAAAAGGACAACAGCGTCAACAGTATGTGGGTAGTTGACCTGAAATATTTTTGGAAGGTCGATTTCCTGCAGTGTGGCATGCTTATACTCCATTTAAAACTATTTTAACCAGCATTTCGTTCATTCTTGTATACTTATTAGGGACGTCAAACAGTTGCACCATTTAATCAAGATTATTCCTTATTTTTTCATATTCATCATTTTCAGTTTAATTTGAGGGGTTCAAATATTTCAGTGGATGAGGTCTATATGATGAAACTGGATGGGTAGATTTATGCAGGAGTTTTATTTCCTCAAAACAAACATTTCTGAATTGCATCAAATTGCAAAGTAAATGTAATATAATTTGATTCGACAAAATATTAACTTAAAATAAAATAATACCAATCCATTATGGACTTAATCATGCATAAAATTCTGCTGGCCTGCAATGCGCTGCTGATTTTTCCAATTTCGATGAATAACAATGTTTTACTCATGGCTTAATGAGCTTCAATAAGAATTACATTTTACCAGGAGAATGGCGATAACTTCGATTAAACATCCCACTTGGGTTTAATTTATACTGTATATAAACAATCTGTTTAAAAAAACCCAAAAAGGTTAAAGTGCGTGCTAAATTGTTAGTGTTTAAACAAATTTAATTCAAGTTTGTGTTAACTGCATGCCTTAAAATAATAATAGGGTTGTCAAGGTTATCAACTCATTAATGGAGAGACTACATGAGACTCTTGTACTGTAAATTCACTGACCATTTTGAATGCAACAGTGAAGGCAAAAAAGGTGTGCAATACCTATTTCTGATGATTTACTAGTATGCATGTATAAAACAGCAGTAAATATACAATGTAGTAGAAGTAGGTTTGTTTCATGTATGCTTACATAAGATTTCATCATGGGAGAAGCTCATAATATGCATGGCTTCCATGGTCTCTTGGAAATTGTCCTTGTCCTGTTGGCCAGGAATGGGAATGTTACCATTGGAGAGGAAGCGGTAGTTATTGAAGCCCTCCAGGAGTAGATCAGCTGCCAGAAGAACAAGAGCATTAACACAGCTGCAGTCTTCTCTAGACAGCAGACATACTCTCCATAATCAGTTTAATTCCTTCACATGTTGAGAATATTAAAAGCCTGCTTCATTACATCCATGTTGACCTTGCACTTAGAATGAAGTCTCCCAATCTCATTGCTAAAAACTGACTAAAAAAAAACTTAACCATGTAAAAAGAAATACTCACATTTTAGATGTTCTCCAGCACCAGCCAACAGCTGGTAGAAGACATGGAAGGTGCGTTCATCTTTGGCTTGGCGAATAGCCCTGGACTTTTCAAGAAGATCTTTAGACTAAGTTAAGGGCAAGCAAAGTCCATTTGACAGCTAATTTTTCAGTCTACGTCAAATCAAACCTGTTCGGATTTTCATAGCACTTTATTTAAATTTAATAAAACTAATATACGAACATTAGAGTTTGTTTGATTAGATTTTTTTTGTAAAATACTAAATAATACCCTTACTTCTGCTGAAAAATAAAGACACACAGAAATTCACCCATTTCAGGCATTTGATCTTGCAGCTATTTGCAGCATTACTTAAATGTAATGGAATGGTTATCAGATCAGGATACAGGTTTCAATGTTGGCCCCCACAATGTAACCGGTTACATCAAAGTTGATGCGGATGAACTTGCCCTGTGGAAAGACAAATATTTAAGATGTGTTTTTTTTTTCCATGACGTGCTTATACTGGTCATGCTTTATAAACCATACCGTTGCATCATAGCTATCATTATATATGGGCCTAATCAACATTTCTAAGAATATATTTGAGCAGATGATCATCCACTACTATTTGGAAAGAGGGGCTTGTGCATGCATGATATGCAGCGCATGTTTAAAAAGCTCTACTTGAAAGGAATCTGTTCTCAAAGCATGCGTAAAAGGCTAATAGACAGCTTATTTGCAGCAAATGCCCCCAAAATAATTACCTAAAGGAAGGCCTGAAGAATCAAATTCCTCTGTGGCTTTTGATTTGTTTGTATGCTCAAAAGCTTTCTGCTGACTTTGACGCATGCCAGCGAATACTCAAACAGCTGACAAGAGGAGCCGATGCAAGACAGACGGCTACATCTCTCAGATCGCTGAACGTGGATTTTAGTGAGTGTGTACCTAAATGGCCCTTTCCAGATGCTACATGCATAATGTAATAAATGTCATTGTACAGTAATAAATAAATAAACATAATCAGTAAACATAAATGTCATTGCCAAAATGTAACAAGAATGTAATAAAATGCTTTGGCAATGTTTAAAGGGTCATGAAACACTACACTACATCTTCTGAGAGATTTTATGTTGCACATCATAGAAGACCATGTTAGCATGCTTTATTTTAAAGTGAAGGGAAAAAATAGTAAATTTTTAATTGAGGGGGGGCTATTTTTGATAATTATTCACTACACCATGTGTTGATTTCCTAAGACAGACGCTTCAAACTGAGAGATCACGTACGGTAATTGAGAGAAACGCTCACAGACAAAGTGTTTTGTCATTGCTTTGTAGTGGTCTAGGTGTGGCATAAATTCTCTTCTATAGGCCTAGAGTCTCCAACACAGGATTCATCCACACCGTGAGTGTAACCAATCTTTACAGCCTCCTGATGCAACTGACCAATGGCTTACATAAACACCGCAAAATAAACTACAAAGGTTTTTAAATATGCAACTTTGTATATTTTGCAACTTTGTGTGTTCTTATACTGTATGTTTTCCTTGCAGAGTGCAAATGTAAACAGCTGTGCATTTATTTGTGTGTGTATTTATTTAATGTTCAGTGAGCTTACGTAACCATGTATAACCTATGTTCACTATTGTCCCATGTAATAGTGAATCGCAGCGTGTATTTGTGGGAAGCATTGATACTTTTAACTCATTGAGAGCTCAATCAAACTGAATCCAAAGATGCTGTTGTTTTGTCTGTACATGCCCACTTTTGTGGTGAGAACTAACCAGTGCTGAAACAGGGTTACAGTTGGAAAAACAGAGGTGGAATTATCATATCAGACTTCATATACCAACTTACAAAGCGTGAGGAGTTGTCATTTTTCACTGTCTTGGCATTCCCAAAGGATTCCAGAATAGGGTTTGCCTGCAGGAGTTGACGCTCTAACTCTCCCTGTAATGCAAAAGTCACTGGTTAGAAACATTAAATAATTAAATACATGATTAAATTAATTTTCATACAAAAACAGATACAAAATGAACTAAAGTTCAAAGGTAGTGTATAACTAAAAAGCAATAAAAAAATCTTTGTGAAACATTGAAAAGAAACCCAGTGAAAATGTTCCATTTATTCACCAGTAAACAGAGTGAAAGCAAAGAGAAACATTTCCAATTTTACAAACATTTGAGCATATATTACCTTAAAACAGTATACCGCAGATCACCTTGGGTTAGTTTGTATCATCAGTAAGGTCTTTATTTACATCCACTTTTTAATACACATAAGTTTTGGAGTGGGATGACTGACTCCAAACTCAAAAGTTCCATATCATCTTGATCACAAATACCTTTTTTTTTTTACTGTATTCTTCACAGTATTTTGTTGAGATGGTGTGGCTAACAATGATCAGTCTGCTTCCATAGCAAAACCATTTCTCTTCATTTGACCTTCAAACCAGAAGCAGATCATCTGGATGGAGTAAAAATACACTACCCTACAAACCTAATTAAAGCCTGGGTAGCCATGAGAGGCTTTTTGTGCAAATTCTCACTGACTGCCTGAAATACAGGCTTTGGGGGGTTGGAGAGGAAACTCCTCAAATTAGCAACGACAGACGCCCAAAGCCCCACTGTGCCACATCACAGAGTTAGTCTGCATCACAGCTCCCCAGCAACAAATCTGGGACATCCACCCCCCTTACATCCTCTAGTCACCCGCAGTGTTGCCCACGTCCACCTGATAGGAAGTTTAGACAGGTGTCCCATTGTTCTTGCTGCTGTCATGAGACAGGAACACATCACACGTAAGAGAATGGCCACTGTGAATTTACACCCTGTTCCCATTACGTAATCCAAACAACAGCAAAATAGTGGATACAGTCCAGGGGATTTTGAAGCTTTAACATTTTCATGCTTATGGGAATGTAATATTATAAAAAGCCTATAAATAGACTGCAAGATGTTTAACTGTTGAACAGATGCTGAATTGTTTAAACATATCTGGGTGTATCTGAGAAAACCAGTAACTAAAGTCAGAACAATGCAATGAAGTTTTAAAAAGGATTAGTGATGAAGCTTTGAGAAAAATAACAGGTTCCACTTTCATCTAAACAGGAGATAAATTAACCATTGAAGTGGTATGACAAAATTGCATTAGCAATGGTAATTTTTAGCAAATGAAGGTCTGATAAGATTAAGTCAAAAAGGTACTTTCATCATTATAGAAAGTATGCCAAGAACTACAGGCATTCAAGCTGCTCTTTTGTAGCAGGGCTCTTTGTAAATGGACATTCCAGAACTTTCCAACTGCATGCATGGAGCAGAGTAACATGTGATCTGACAAATGGGAATTCAGCACTGCGACCACTGCACCATCATGCAGTATTTCTTTTTTAATTTTATGTTTTACAGACATGTAAATTACTTGACATCACCCCCAAAAGTATAGTACATTGGAACCACAGAGAACAGAAAAGAGTAATTAAGAAGGTAGATGTTATATGGCAGAATGAGAAGTCATTAGTAAAAACAAATAAATAAAAGATGAGGGTAAAATGAACAAAAATGACAGTTTCCTATGCCCAAAGTAGCAGCGTGATATAAGAAAGAAAATGGGAAAAAACAAGGGACTACAAGCTACTCACATAAAACAGGATTCCGCTCTGTAATCAAATCATTATCATGGAAACAGAGGTGTTAATGTCACATAGAGGGAAATACACAAACACACAACAGACAAAACACACACAAGCAAGGGGTGATTTAAAAGCTGAACAAAATGTGCTGTGAATATATGTAGGCCTGGGCGATAAAACGGTATCGATATTTATCGACGGTACACCTTCTTCGATAACGATAGAAAAAATGTTCGATATGGCGCACGATATAGGCACGTGCTATGAGTGACGCAGACAGCACACACAAACACGAACACATGCTGAAATGAGTGCTATGCCTGCCTGTGATGAGGAGATTGTGATTAAAGAATGAATATTAGTCGAATTAAAATAAACATTTGCATTTGAATGTTAGGTGTGCATCAGGGAGCGTCATCAGTGGCGCGCGAGATGCGGGGATAATGATGTAAGTGATGTTGTTTCATTTTAATGTTTTGTTAGTCTAGCCCACGAGACGCGCCGCTGCTGCGTTATTCATTCAAAATATTAGAGAAATATAGAAGCTCAATGCGGAGAAGATCTTGAATGGGTTAAAACCGAAACCAAGCCATTCACACAGATGCATATTCAGCGCATTTTTTAGACGGACAAGTACGACTGCTGCACTCGCGTCTCACACAAGAGATGTATAGAAAGCCATGCAAAGTTAAAACCGTTAAAACTTTTAAAAAACACGTCACGAATTTGTGGCGGTTTATTCCTTTTCACTGCGTCTCTTATGTTTTTAAATGCAATCTGTGTGAATGGGGCTTTAGCTCTTTGGATTAAGCAATGCATAAATACATGATGCTGTTTTGTTCATATTTGTTTATGCAATTTACGAAATTAGTTAATTTAATTTAATTTAATTTATTGCCTTGTTGACAATTGCGCCCTCCTGTGGCCTCCGGAGACAAGACAAAAGTTTCCTTAAAACCTATTTAATCTGCATATAAAACATTAGAAATTAGATATTTGTTTAATTTTAATTTTGTGTTTGACTGTTAAAACAAAATATATTTGTTGTTTGTCTCAATAAATTGGGTTAATTTAAAAATACAGTGGTTAAATTTAAACATTTTTTTCTATTGCTCTGTTTTAAAAAAAGGTTATAAAAAACGTCAATAATTATCGATACCGAACGATATGAAACATTATATCGTTGATACATTTTTTAGCTATATCGCCCAGCCCTAAATATATGTGAAGGATACTTTCTCAGTTTGTGAATTAGGCTGGTTTAGAATGTTGCTGGTCTAAATAAGAGAACTGACCTTTATATGTGTAGTGCTAAAAACCTTCAATTTCATTAGTTTTTTTTCTCTTTTCTTTAACATCTCTTAGACATCAGCTCAGGTTGTACATGATTAGCTCTTTACTTCCATACAACTAAGGTAAATATGAAAATGACTTTAAAATGTCAGATTTTCACATCATGCAAATATATCACTACGCCCCCAGCTATCCTGACAAGTTAACTAGGTTTTTCTCTAATAGGTTTTATCCAACACTAAAGATGTGTGCACACATTCCAAACCATTTAGCAAATGTGACAAAATATGTACAAATAATTCAAACGTAAACCATCTAAACCACTTAAAGCAATGTGTTTACTTATTTCAAAAATATCCCAGCGTGCTGAAAATTTCCCCTTGGATTGGCTACATTCCATTGGTGTTTATACAGCAGGTTAGTTTTGCATGCACAAGCAGAGCAGGTATAAAAAGCTTAAAGGGAACTTGCCTGGAGTTTGACTGCTTTAGGAGATTCTGGCTGTTTGTATATAATAAACAAATGTAATATGTTAGAAGGCATCAGGGCCACATTCTCCAAGTGTCTTAGACCACGGGACAGATCTAAGCCTTTAGTATGTTGCATAACTTTGGCCATGCGAATACATTAAGACCAATAACCACAGCATGTAAAACTCTTTAGCATGCTTGCATTTATTTTTGAAGGTAATACATGTTATCACAAATTAAGAGACCAGTAAAACTGCAAAAGGATGGCAAACTACAGGCCAGCACTGCAACCACTAAGATGTTTTCTCAATATAGGTCCACAAGTAATACTTATACACACAGTTAAGAGCCAGCAGTTATTACTACATGATCATCTAGACAACAATGTCAGTACATTAGAATCCACACAAAACACTATCAATGACATACAAGTGCATGTTATCCACTGATGTATGTTAATTTGGTTAAAATTACTCTTCTAGCAAAAGCACCCTGATGTCATTGTAACTAGATAAAATAGATTAAATATGAGACATTACAAATTAAAGAGTACATTATGAGAGCTTCAACTGTAAATGCAGTAGATACGTTAAATAAAATAAATAAAAACTGCCTATTTGTCTAACAACCTTTGTAAATTCCTCTCAAAAAAGTTAAGATGCTTAAAAGCACCCGTACTACAACAATAGATGATTAGACAGATGTCTTTGCCCATTGCATCCCACTCTTTTTTTTTTCTCAAAGATGGCATGTCAATTTTTTCCATTCCATTATCTTATGTAAACACTGCCTAAAGATGCCTTAAACACTGCCTTATATAAAGTTTTCTTAAAACCGATTAGCAACCTAGAGGAATAATCGATTGAATATATGTAGCTTTGCATATGATTCTAAATGTACTAGTTTTTAACCTGCAAGTCTCATTATTCTATCCTGCTCAGTACTGCCCCCTACTGAGGTGTGACAGTTTCCCAAAATATGCCGACATATCCCTCTCTCCACACCTATATTATTGGTGAAATTCAACAAGAATGTCATCATGAATGATTCAGCGAATGGCAGAGAGAAATGGAACTCACTGGAATGTTGTGGTCCTTCCTTCCTTTGTGAGACGATGCAACGTGAGCCAGGTACTGGATGACTTTTTTGGTATTTTCTGTCTTTCCAGCACCTGATTCCCCTCTGCAAGAGAAAATTCCAATGAAAAGCAAACATAAAAATATCATTATCATAATAAAAATACCCAAATAAAATAAAACACAACAGACTGGGTAGATATTTAAGAACATTTGCATTCCACAAGCTAAATTAAGCATCAGGCTGCATCCTGTATCACAGGTCAGCTAGCTCTGCTGGTGTTTTTACAGCTGCAGCTCCTTTCAGCAGCTAGGACTCTGATTGAGGAGGATTTGGTCTATTGTGCTTGTGCATTACACAATGAGCTTTATTAAGTAAACATTAAAAGTCTTTTATAATATTACTGACATGCAAAATATGACTTTTTTTAATGACTTTTTATAACAATGATATGAATGCGAGAAATATTGTTCTTCACAAGTCTGATTCAAACATTATTCTCCACAATCTGCCCATAAATGGAAAAAAATCTTTAGAAAGACGGCCAAAGTTTTTTTTACAAAGGCCAGTGAAGTCGTTCACTTAACATTGGCTTCAATCAATAAAATATAACAGCAAATTCTAATACAAACGGGTGAACCACACAAAAACCTATATACTATATGCGTATGGTCGCCGTGATTTTGCCAAGTAAGACATGTTCCTGGATCAACATTACTGTCAAAAAATACAGACTTAACCCAATCCCTACTCCTAAACTTAACCTTATCCATAATTTATTCCTAAAATCAGTGTGAAATGATAGCTGATTAACAAGGGTGTAGAAGCACCTAATCCTGATTGTAAGCCTAAAACTGAATTTGTTGATCCAGGAACATGTTGTACTTGGTGAAATCACGCTCACCATGTGTGTATACAGGGCTCGAAATTGTGACCATTTTGGTCACATATGCTCCCGAAATGTAACCTGTGCGACCCCAAATTATATTTGGGAGCACTTGTGCGAGCGCAAATAATTGTCTTCATTTTTCTGCAAAACATTCGTGAATTACTGCACAGTATGTGCCTGCTGTGAGCTGATACAATGACCATTTCACCATTCTATCCAACATTGCATATCCCATTCTCTAAACAACTAATGAAGAGTATTTTATGAGAACCTCAAATGCATATACAATACAGGTACGCTATAACAAAATGAATTGTAAAGCACTATATACATTGACCCAAGCTACAGCAATAGATGATTAGACTGACATCTTTACCAAATGCATAGCATCCCACTGTTTATTGAGTTTAAGAGGTCATGGAAACAGCCTATCTTTCTAAAAGCATCACTTAAAACTCCTGCATTTTATTCCATTGTGAAAAAAGAAAATATCCTCATGTTGCTCCAAACTAGCAACACATAGGTTATTAGTTGGAATCCACTAGAAGATTCTGTAAAACAGTAAAGGCTTTCAAGCTTCAAAAAGGATAATAAAAAGCATAATAAAAGTAGTCTGTATGATTGTACACTATATTCACTTCTTCTGAAGCCATAAATTGTCTTCATTCATTTATAAGCTGTTAAGTGCGAGATTCCTTAACCCTGCATTCTAGCTACATAGACACGTCTTCATAGTGGGTGTGCAGAATGGCATGTGCTGCAGTGGTATCGACTTTGAGAGACGATGTTAAAACCCACTCTCATAACCTCTTACAGTGCCACTAAGACATGAGAGAGGCTGTTTACTTATTTACAATGTGCAAAGACAATAATTCAGGCTTAATGCATCAAAAGCTCGCATTTCTATGGATGAATTCTTATAGGCTGACTATAAATATTTGCTGTGGGTCTGACTCACACTGTGAGATGCTCTTCATGCCGAACAGCTGCAGCTACTGATATTTAATACCGCAATGATACATGACTCATGTTTTCAGGCATAGCTGTACATGTATGATTCCAAAAAAGCCCACTCCTGTGCAGCACTGGGGACGTGACATCACTTCCATCAGCCCCGACTGATTGACGTAACCTGTAACTGCTGAATAAAGATGATCTAATGGTTACTCACGTGCAAAGAATTGATTGGTCCTCACGATCTGCAAAAAAGGAGACAGAGAAAAAAATGGGTCAGCATTTTCAGTTCAGTTCACCTAAGCCTTTAATTCAAATCAATCCACTTTGACATTTAAAAGAACCTAAAACAGCAAAAGACAAACATTTCACCACAAAGTGATTTATCAAACACAAACAACACATGTACATTGATGCAATCTTGCAAAAGAAACTAAAAACCTATTTTATGGTTTATTCCTACCCAACTATTATTACAATCTGCTGACATATTAGTATATACTCAACACTGCATATGACTATTCTGTCTTTTCAACAGACAGAAAGTTTCCGTGAAAGAAAACACAGCAGAGAGGAAGATGGCTCAGTTAAAATGAAAATGAGTGCCAACTGAAAACGCAGTGTTGGCCTAAAATGCAAGCCAGCAAACATCTGCAAAACTCGTTATGTCACATCTCGTCTACATTCAAAGTAGGTTTCCCACTCATCTGTAAATCTCACTTCATAAACAGGTTGATCTTCCACAAAACGTAATGATTTGCAACTTCGAAAGTGAAGGCTTTATAGGAAAATTCTAAAGCGAGCAAAACCGTTTCACAGTGATACTAAACCTCTGCAAGAGGAAGATAGGAGCATCATGTGACCGCTTATTTGAGAATGGTTTTTAAAAAAGGCATATATCATATTTTTTATGTGATACAGATTGTCATTTTACTGATATTGATGTTTTAGCTTCAATGTGACCAAAACTCTGCCCTACTTACACATTTCATTCCCCAGGCACAAACAATTAAATGTCAACTCCGGTATATGCCAGAGATACTTGCATGAACATGATCCTATGGCTTGAGAAAGCCTCTGACATGCTTTGATGCACTGATCTCTGTAACATCAGCTCACTTTAATCAAACACTGATGCATATGGACTGTAGGTAATTGGGTTTGAGTATTAGGAGACTATGGCCAATACTGGCCACAGTGTCAGGACACACTGGGCTCAGGTCATGCCCAGAGAAAGAACAATCTGAATGGAAACAAATCAGCAGATTAAATGTACTACTTAATGTCCTGCAGCCTCCTCCTCATACAGGACATCTGATTCAATAAGCTCAAAGTAAACGACTTCCTCCGCATTGTACAGCAGTTACAAAACCACATACACAGTACTCGTCAAGCTTTTTGTGCGTCACACTGAAATATGTATTCATTTGTATTACAGCATAACTATCTGCATCCTCTTCCAAAGGGTTGTGATTCATTTGAATACATTTTCTGTAAACCAGGGGTGAACGAACACACCCACCCTGGGAGCTCTTCCAAGTGATCATTTGGGTGGTGTCTCAGGTCCCGAATCTGCAGAAGGTTGCTAATGATGTGGATAAATAACTTCATGTCACTGTTAAACTGTTGTTCTTGCAGTATCAGATAGCTGCTGAGAACAGGCCATCCTTGAAACGCCAGGCATCTGTGTGTGTCTGGTGGAACCAAGAAGCACAAGATAAGATAAACTTGGCCAACCCGACCCAAAAATGGTGGCCACAGACGTCTTTTCTTTTCAGGAGCAAGTCACTGCTTTAAAATGTTTGTGCAGACTTTTTCTTAAACTAAGCATGACATTTTGTCATGTAACTCATTCAGCACTGTTTGTACTACACTTGATCTACTTTCATAATTTCTTCTTGCAACTACAGTGTGAAAAGGCATATTCACACAGCACAAAATTCAATGACCAAAGGAAATAAAGTTGCTCTTTTATTTCACATTGTACTGGGAGCTTTATTAGCATTGTTGCATGTCTCTCAGTGTGAAGAGTTTGCAGGAAATCGATCCAATATCTTTATTAAAATAAAATATCAGCTGTGCTTTTGAAGTGCTGTTTGTTGACTGATCACTGTTCCAAAGCAGTCAGAATTATGATTGTTTATACATAATTTAGCATCCTCAGAGGACTTGTGGAGAAGATTCATCAAGCTCCTAAAAAGTAGTGAGGTCATTTAAAATGCCACAACCAATTTGCTTCCTTCTTTTAGGCATGGAAATGATTCTGTTCTGAAGTCCTCTAATGAGACACAGGGGCATCTGACTAAGGTTCACCTATGGGAACAGAGGATGCCTGAAGATAAAATAGTGCTGACTGCTTTCCTGTTCTGGCAGCAGGAGGTCGACTCAGGGCTGTCTGGGATGGAGAGGATCTACAGCTGGGCACATCCTCAGTATGGGGTTTCCTCCACCTGGACTCACTAAAAGTCTAACACTCGAGAACCCGCCCTCATAAGAGGCCAAATGTGTAACAGAGTATGGAAAAGAATGATAATGCCATAAAAGCATGCATGCAACAATTGTTTGAAAATCTTTTGTTTAAAAGCTAGATAGCAGAAAACAGAAGGACTCAATAACTCAATGTCAACAGGAACAGAATTGTGGAGAAGATTCATCAAGCTCCTAAAAAGTAGTGAGGTCATTTAAAATGCCACAACCAATTTGCTTCCTTCTTTTAGGCATGGAAATGATTCTGTTCTGAAGTCCTCTAATGAGACACAGGGGCATCTGACTAAGGTTCACCTATGGGAACAGAGGATGCCTGAAGATAAAATAGTGCTGACTGCTTTCCTGTTCTGGCAGCAGGAGGTCGACTCAGGGCTGTCTGGGATGAAGAGGATCTACAGCTGGGCACATCCTCAGTATGGGGTTTCCTCCACCTGGACTCACTAAAAGTCTAACACTCGAGAACCCGCCCTCATAAGAGGCCAAATGTGTAACAGAGTATGGAAAAGAATGATAATGCCATGAAAGCATGCATGCAACAATTGTTTGAAAATCTTTTGTTTAAAAGCTAGATAGCAGAAAACAGAAGGACTCAATAACTCAATATGTCAACAGGAACAGACTGTTGGATTGATGTCGTCATAAGCAGAGCTATGAAACATACCATGTTCAAAGACAAAGTTTTAGATAAAAGTTTCAGGGCTTAGGTCACAGGTTCCAGGGTGGAGATGCTTCCTTTTGTGTGGCGTACATCAACCACTGTGAACATTCATGACACTATCGGTCTCGGATACAGAGACACAGATATGGCAGCCAAGGATTCTGAAGAATGGCCTCTCCTATCAGCACAGCTGCAGAAAAGGGAAGCATATAATCAAGTGAAGAGAGGGCTCTTGACTTCTTTTCACTGCATTTTGTCAAGGCCTTAGCAACTCTTCTCTGAATAACGAACGGCTGATTACAGAGATTCCAGCATAATTCAGGCACAGTCGTACGAATGTGTGGAAATAATAAAAAATATAATGGAGCTCTAAACAAGCATTCAAAGATAACTCACAACGATCTAGTGCTGGGCAGTATATCGGTTCATTTAACATACCGGTGTTTATTTTTGTTATGATATAAATTTTTTAAATACCGCAATACCGGTGTATGTCGCTTAAACAACGTTCGGAACGCGACACTGTTTGAAAGGGGTCCCTTTTCACTGTTGCACTGTGGTGAGGGAACAGCTGTATGTGTTACTAAGCGTGAAAGTTCCGAAACTGAAGCTGTAGAACTAATAGAACGTGATGACACAGAAGAACTCATCCACAATATCCATATTGACCGCCACAAATTTCCACCATCCCCTGCCATCAGCTCACACTCTCACACACACACACACACACACACGAGCGCAACTTTAGCACTAGATTTAGCAAATTTCAGACTTTTTTAGCGGCTTTTTTCCATAGAATATTCATACAGACAAACCTAGCGACTTTTTTTGGATAAACCTTAGCTATGGTTCAGTTGGAAGATTTCACCAGTGCTGTCCCGCGAACGCGAGGTCTGACTTTCCCGGAGAAGTGTCACCTCCCTCGGCATCTGTTCTGTGCAGTGAGCGGCAGAAAAGCACTGCAGCAGACTCCTCAATAAATGAGTACAAAACAGCGTTTCCTAGCACCTGTCGCCTACTGATTGTTTGGAATTATAAATATGAGCGTAGTTCGTCTGTTAATATCACATGCACTTTTTTGTTTGTTGTTTTTTTTTTTTTTGTTACTCAGACGCTGCATGAGACAAAAAAGTAATATAGCCAAAACAACCGCATA